CGAACAAAACCGACTGATGTTCAAAAATCTCTTAATCGAACGAAAGCGATCAACATTTAAATCTCGTAATCGAACAATCTTAATGAGTCTTTTAATTGAAGGCTTGGCCTGACTGTACTGCTGTGTTTGTGAATGACTCTGTTCTCACGTTCACCTTGCGTCGGCTGACTCTCCACTATGTATGTGGTGTTGGTTTTCTCCAGGTCATCACTGGCTCTGAACACCAAACACAAACCACATCAAGATGATGAGACCTGTTGATTTGTTTAGCTTGTAAACACACACTATACAGTATGTGGTGATGAACAGGTTTGTCTTCTCCAGTGTTTTGAGTCGTTTCTGCGGGTGAGAGTGAAGGAATGAACAGTCTCCGGAGGTTTGGAGGCGTGAATGTTCCTCACCTGGAGTAGCGTCGCTCTCCTCGACAGCAGCGATGACAGAAGACCAGCAGGATGGACAGGAGGACCAGCGTCCCGCCGGCGAACACACACAGCAGCACCAGCAGCAGGACATAGTTCTCCTGAGAGCCGGATGCCAGCGGCACGTCCTGCAATGCATTTCACACTGATCTCTGTGTTTCAAAATACTGCGCATTTCCTCCAGTGACTCGACCAGAGACATGAGGCTGAACCACAACAGACCATCAACTACATCTACAGCCTTCCTGTAGCTCAAACAGTAGACCACAGCGCTCGCAACCCAAAGGTCATAGGTTTGAGTCCACAGGGACAGTAAGGACTGACACAAAATGTATACTTCAATGCAATGCAAATCTAAACCACAGTGTGTCCATAACCACAGATAATTATTAAGATTTACAACATAAAAACAGTAAACATTAAAGTACAGAACCATTTACAGACACATTGAATTGGACTGGTTTCATAACTGATGAATTTTGCAACATTAACAGTGTTATTTTCCTATTTATTATAAATCAACCATAATTACACGACTCATGCTGTGAATAGATTAAAGGAATAGTTTCACCCAAAAATCATTTACTCCTGTCGTTCAAACTGTGTGACTGACTTTGTGAGATATTTTGAGAAATGTCACACTGTTTTGTGTCCATATGATGAAAGTCAGTGGGGTCCAGTGCTGTTTGGTTCCTTCAAAATATCATCTTTTGTGTTTCACAGAAGCAAAGTTGCACAGGTTTGAATGATGACCGATTGATCATTTCTGACTGAATGATCCCTAAACTTGTGTTTACTAGGTAAGTTTTTTTATTTATATAGCACATACACCGTGGTAATTCAAAGTGCTTTACAGAACATTTTTAAAAATTGTAAGTTTTATAGTAAATACATAAAAATAGATGACTGTTTAAACAAAGAGACTGCACTGATTTACTGTAAGATCCGGTAATACTTTACTTGAAGGGGTGTGCATAAGACTGACATGACACCTTCATAATCATGACATGACACATGTCATGAATATGAAGGAGGTTTTATGCATGTTTATGACAACTGTCATTAAGTGTCATTCGCTTAGTTATGTCATTTTTAATGCAAATATGACATTATTTGACCTAACCCTAACCTAACCCTACCCCTACCCTTACCCCTAACCATAGCTAGGTGTCATGTCATGATTATGAAGGTGTCATGTCAGTCTTATGCACACCCCTTCAAGTAAAGTGTAACCTAAGATCCTTATTCAATATCAGAGACATTATTGATGCGTGCGATCCGTCAGCAGGAGTATGTACAGTACGTACTACAGTTATCAGCAGCGCTGAATAATACAATTAACTCAGAGAGATGATTGATTAATTAGTGCTAACTGTAAGAACGAGTCTCATCATAATCAAAACTCTGACGAGCGAGCGAGCGTGTGTGTGTGTGTGTGAGTGAGTGAGTGAGTGTGTGAGTGAGTGAGTGTGTGTGTGTGAGTGAGTGTGTGTGTGA